ATATTCAAAGTGATGAAAAGCAAGGACCTACAACCAAGATTACTCTACCCAGCAAAGTTATCATTTAGAATTGAAGGTCAGATAAAGAACTTCCCAGATAAGGAAAAGCTAAAGGAGTTCATCACCACCAAACTAGTATGACATAAAATGTTAAAGGGTCTTCAAGAAGAAGAAGAAGAAGAGATAAAATATCAAAAATATGAACAATAAAATGGCAATAAATGCATGCCTATTAACAATTGAATCTAAAAATCAAAATAGCCCTGGCTGGTTTTGCTCACTGGATAGAGCATCAACCTGCAGACTGAAGGGTCCCGGGTTTGATTCCAGTCAAGGGTACATGCCTGCATTGCAGGCTCCATCCCCAATAGGAGGCGTGCAGGAGGCAGCTGATCAATGATTCTCTCTCATCATTGATGTTTCTATCTCTCCCTCTACCTTCCTCTCTGAAACCAATAAAAATATATTTTAAAAAATAATAATAAATAAATAAAAATAAATGAGTAAGGAATCTAATGAACAAAATAAACTGATGAATAAAATATAATCAGAGGCATGGAAACATGGAACACACTGGTGAATCTCAGAGGGAAGGGGGGTGGGGTGCTGAGAAGAGATTAACCAAAGAATGTATATGCGTATATGCATTACCTATGGACACAGACAATAGGTGGTGAAGACCTGCGGAATAGGAGGGAACCAGGTGAAGGAAGGCAATGGGGGAGAGAGGGGGACATCTGTAATACTCTCAACAATAAAGGTTAAAATAAAATTTAAAAATGTATACATTTGTGTTCACAACCCTAATGCCATTATAACATCAGACTGAATGTGTGTGTCTCCCCCAAATTTGTATGTTGAAACCTAATCCCCAAGGTGATGGTATTAGGAGGTGATTAGGTCATGAGTGTGGGGCCCTCATGAATGGGATTAGTGCCCTTGTAATAGAGACTCCAAAGAGCTCCCTCACCCCTCCCTCCATGTGAGGACACAGTAATCTGCTGGCACGGTGGTCTTGAACTTCCCAGCCTCTAGAACTGTGAGAAATAAATGTTGTTTATAACCCACCAAGTCTGATATTCTGTTATAGCAGCTTGAATGGGCTAAGACAACAGCTAAGACAATTAGCAGCCATTCTTTGGCATCACCAAACACCCAGGCCATCATCGAATTCCTCTAATTGGCTCCAAATGTCACTGTGCATTTGGTTTCTTTGAATTGGGATCCAAACAAGCTCCACATGTTATGTGTATCATGTCTTCTACATCCCTTTTATTTGAACCCAGTAGCCCTGAAATCAGAGCGCGCATTGTAATCCTCTAGATCAGCGGTTCTCAACCTGTGGGTCGAGACCCCTTTGGGGGTCGAACGACCCTTTCACAGGGGTCACCTAAGACCATCGGAAAACACATATATAATTACATATTGTTTTTGTGACTAATCACTATGCTTTAATTATGTTCAATTTGTAACAATGAAAATACATCCTGCATATCAGATAGTTACATGACGATTCATAACAGTAGCAAAATTACAGTTATGAAGTAGCAACGAAAATAATTTTATGGTTGGGGGTCACCACAACATGAGGAACTGTATTAAAGGGTCGCGGCATTAGGAAGGTTGAGAACCACTGCTCTAGATGTTTTGTTAAAGTCCCAATCCTTCTACCAGAGCTTCTGACGCAGGAGATCTTGAGGGCCCAGGGGTCTGCATTCCTAACACATTCCCAGACAATGTTGCGGACACAGGAAAGACACTTGGAGAAACGGCTGCTCTAGATTTCCTCCTTTTCCCCAACCCCACCTACCTTGGATTTGTTGCAGGAAGAGTGTGGAATGCTGGGAATTCCACACCTTCTGGTTTTGCTGTGTCTGCCCTGTGGTGCCTTTACCTTGTTCCTCTCTCCCCTGTATTTCCTATAAATCACTTGTTCTCAGCCCTGGCTGTACACTGGAACCCCCTGGGAATTTACCAAAATACTCAAGCTTGGACCCCAGGGTTACCAAGCAAGGCCTAATAGCCATAGAAGCCAATGCTAGGGCACTAGCTTCTCCTTTTTTCTTTTTAAAATATATTTGTATTGATTACAGGGAGAGAGATGGAAATATCAATGATGACAGAGAATCATTGATCGGCTGCCTCCTGCACGCTCCACACTTGGGGATCGAGCCCGCAACCCAGACATGTGACCTGGAATTAAACTTCGACCTCCTAGTTCATAGGTCAATGCTCAACCACTGAGCCATGCTGACCAGGCTATGGCACTAGCTTTTGAGGAGGAAAAAGAAAGCTTTTATTGTGAGGTCAACCTGCAAAGAGACAGGAGGCAAGGCTCAAGTCTGTCTTCTCCTTCCCGGGCTTGGGGCCAGGTAGCTTAGTTGGTTAGAGTGTCGTCCTGATATACCAAGGTTATGGGTTCAATCAGGGCACATACAAGAATCAACCAATGAGTGCATAAACAAGTGGAACAACAAATTGGTGTTTCCCTCACTCTCTCTCACTCTCTTTCGCTCCCTTCCTTTCTGTCTCTAAAAATCAATAAATAAAAACTAATAAATAAGGCAAGGTGTTTCAACACCGGATCTTCCCGGACAACAGGCCCTTTGCTTCTGAAAGGGTTTCATCAGGTTCCGATCTTGTTCTAGTCCTTTGTTTCTGTGGGGGAAGCAGCGAAGGGTTCACAAGTGCTACTCGCAAGGGGTATATCGAAGTTTAAACTTTGGTTCTGGGTCCTGTTGGTGCGAGCCCTGAGAACAAAGATACCTACTAACTAGGGTTCCTGGTGGCTAACTGGGCTCAAAATTTTAAAAACAGAGCCTGGCAGCCGTTTCTACACAGGGGCCTCTCACACAAACCGCACTCCTGGGCCTGCACTGCGTCTGCCACCTGAGCCAGCCCTGATGAAGGAGTTCCTGGAATCCTATTCCAACCCATAGGACTGAGGCTTTCCCCATCCAACTGGAGCTGCAAAGGTCCGGTCAACTAGAGCAGTTCTATTCTGACCAATTAGGAAAGTGCCTTTTGGACCAATCAAACTGCCGAGGATGCGGAGCCCTCATTTGCATGAGGACACACCAATCAGGGACCAGGGGTGGGGACTTGTGTCTATATAAGCCAGCTCTCCTGTGGCTCAGGGAACACACTCTCCTTCCCACCTAAGGCTGAAAGGAACAGGCCAGAAGGCAGTGGGCAGGTCACTGCAGCACAGAGCTGACCACACAGCGGACCAGTGCAGACCAGCCAGGGGCAGAGCCAGGGGCAGAGCCGCCTAGTTGGAGGGTGGCCTGGCCCCAGGGCTGCCTCACAGCTGTGCTGTATCACAATTGAGGTGCTTTGCACTGTGTAATTTCTTTCTTCACCACACCCCGACTGGGGATTCCTATTGTTGTTGAATCGGTACCAACAGCCATCAGTTGACATTAGAAACAGGATAGGACCCGTTCGAGCTGGTTCTGTGGTTACACCATCTCTCCATCTTCTGATTTGATTGGACTGGGCTGTGGCCTGGGCATGGGGACTTATTACATTTACCCAATTAAGGGGTGGCCGTGGACACTGCTGAGAATCAATAAAACCAGGGTTTCATCCAGTGACCATAGCAGACTGAATGGATTTTTCCACTGGGGGTTGCAAATGGTAATTTATCTAATGTTTCCATCTTTCTTTGGGGAGGATAATAAAATGGGCACAGTCCTATTTGCTATTGCTGCAATCAACTGCCACTCTGTAAAACACACCTAGCTTTCTTTGGAACCAGCCCACCTCTCAGATTTCTGTCCCTAAGTTAGGGGCGGGCAAATACTCCCAGCCAGCCAATCAGCACGTTTCATCTGTCTGACCTGTCATTGGTTTAGGCATGGACTGGGACCCAGGTGGCCAAGAGACTTGGTTTGGAGAAGTTAACTAGGGTTATCAGGAAAGAGCAGCTTCCACCATCCCCACAGCCCACCCCCCCGCCCCCCGACTCACATGGTTCAGAGGGGGCCACCTCAGAGGGGCGAGGCTACAGAGAGAAGGCACAGAGAGCAGGGATGAGAATCCTCGTACCATATGCAAGTCTTTGGACCTAGCTCACTCCGGCTCTGCAGTTCATTCATTCACTGAACAAACATCTGTACGGTGCCTGCTGAATGTCAGAAACAAACTGTTTGTACTCACACTTCTGACACCAAATATGTGGGGATTTTCCATATGAAGCAAATCTGCAGGCATCAACCGGGTGTCCTACAGTTCAATTCAATTCTGAAACTAACTACCCAGAGCCCACATCAGAAGCCACAGGTTTAAGGGCTCAGTCCCGCAGGACTGCCACCATCTCAGATGCCAGTGGCAAGAATTATGTCCCCAGGTGAGACACACTTCTGAGTTGGTTACAGTCAGGGGTTTCTCGCCATCTTCCTTCCATTTCAGGTTTGATAAAACTAGAATGACACAAAACTCAGGAAAGCATTTGACCCGTTATTACATTTATTACAAAAGCTACAACTCAGAATAAAAACATATTTAAAAATATAAATAAAAGCTACAACTCAGGAACGGTGAGACGGAAGAGATGCACAGGACAAGGTATGGGGGAGGGGTGTGGGATTTCCATGCCTTCTCTGGGCGTACCACCCTCCCAGCATGGCCATGTGTTCACCAACCCGGAAGCTCGTCCATAGTTTAGGGTTTTCATGGCGGTTTCCTTACAAAGATGTGATTGATTAAATCGTTGGCCATTGGTGATTCACTCTATCTCCAGCCCCTCTTCTCTCAGGAGGTCAGGGGACAGGACTGACAGTGCCAACACTCTAATCATGGCTTGGTCTTTCTGGAGACCAACTCCCATCCTTTAGCTACCAACCCCCTCCCCCAGTCCTCTGGGTAACATACAAAAGACACTTAGCCGTCCCTCCGGAGATAACGGTTTTAAGAGATGTGTGCTAGGAACCAGGGACAAAGACCAAGTATTTCTTTTTTATTGTAGCAGACAGGAACAGAGCTGGGGGTGGCAGTGAAATATTTTTAAATCCCTACGTTTAGCTGGCACTATTGGAGGAGATACTTATTGAAGTTAAATGAGAAAATGAAATAGTATTTTATATTCTAGGGGCTGTGGGAAGGAGGGGTTGCAGTACTAAAGTACTAAATTGTGAGGGAAGTAGGGGGAGGGGTGCAGAATGAGAAGGTGAAATTTATGGAAAGACCTGAAAGAGGAAGTGAGAGAGGGGAGCTTTGTGACTACCTGGGGTAGGAGAGTTCCAGGCAGAGGAACAGCTAATGCGAGGGCCCTGAGCCAGGGGCCTGGTGTGTTCAAATAGCAGCTAGGAGGTCAATATGACCCGAGCAAAGCAAGTGTAGGGGGCAAGTGGGAAAAGTTGAGAGCAAGGAGGTGGCTGATGAGGTCAGGCAGTACCTTGTAGGACACAGGGAGACTTTGGCATTTACTCCCAGGCAGGTGGGAGCCATGGAGGGTTCTGAGGAGAGGGATGTGACCAGACTTGGGTGCTCACAGGCGCCCCCCTGGCGGCTGTGGTGGAGGACAGACCTTCCTAGTTGAATTAGTTGGAGCAACATTATCCTCTCTGCCCTCCAGGCAGAGGCAGTTTCCAGGGCCAAAGGGGTGGGGTGGCCCAGAGTTCCCGCTAGACAGCCCCAGGCCCGAGCCTCCCTGGACTCACGCGGGATCTGCTACAACCCGCATGGCCCTCAACCCTCTGCTTGGCTGTGAGTCAACTGCCCTCTTCCTGGAAGTCGCATTTCACTAATGGAAATAAAAAAACAACTGCATCTGGGCACAATGGCTTTAATTGTTTTTTCTTGTGGAGAAAAGTGCAACGTCTTTCCAATGGTCATCAAAGAATCGCTTACGCAGGAGAGCCACATCCAGGGCAGAAATGAGCAGGCCGAGGGCTCTCTCCGTAGTGTTTTGGGATTATGGGGGAGAAGAAGCCAGTTAGCAGAATTAGCACTTCCACACGGAGACCAAATTTCACCCTTTGCTTGTTTTTCTAAGTTTAGTTGGAGAGAATGACACAAGAATATGACCCCCAGAGAAGCCAGAAAAAAAGAAAAGAAAGCAGAACCCTACACCACAGCAATCATGGCAGTTTCCCACCGAACTGCCTGTGGAAAGACAAGTTGCTAAAAGCAAATGGTAAGAAGGGACAGCACCCAGGCAGGACCCAGCCCCAGGCGAGGGCTCCAGGCCCGGCTCCCGGCAGCTGGGAGGTGGTTTTCCCACAGCCTTTGGTTTATTTTTGTTTGTAAACTCAACAAGCCTCCCTCCCCTCAGTGACCCGGGAGGACATCGATTTCGGTTCCCCAGAGGCTATCTTGAGCGAACACTCCCCCCCAAACGTCATGAAATAAAAACTTGCATTATTTTTAGCAGAAACAAAAATACATATTCTGCTCCTACATGCGTCCCAGTCTTGAGAGAACCCGGCGGCAGCTGTCTCAGTTGCTACTTGAAGCTGAACGGTTGAAAAACTCTGTGCACACAGAAAGCTTAGACCGAGTCAGATACACGATGCGGCCAACGCTGCATCACACGGGCCGTGGCAATAGGCTGGTCCCTCTTGACCCACCGTTTTTTCTGGCAGCAGCTCGGCGAGAATGGACCGGCCAGTGACATCTTGACAGCCCGTGGTGCAACTCAAGAAGACTTTTAACTAATTTAATTTCACTTTTATGTTAAAGCAAGGAGCATTTCTGATTTCAGATCTTCTCACTTTGTGTGTCTCCCAAAACTTGGTCCTTTCACCAGTCGTTTAACTTGTTGGTGTACAAAGATATCCTCACTCTGAAAGTCTCAGGGCAGACCCTGGTACGGGGCACAGAGGGCCCTCTAGAAACAGGTTCAATCTAGAGTTTCCAGAAAGGCGGGAGCTAATCTTAAACTTGAACCAGGCCTTCCCCATACCGCAGCGGAGGAGGTGGAGACCTTTAAGGCTACAGGAGGTCGTCTTGCCAGCAGGGGCTGGGACAGTAGGATTGGGAACACAAACTATCGGTGTAGGCTGTCCTCACAGTGTCTGTCAAGTTATGGGGTGTCGGTTGGTGTTCCAGGGCAGAAAGGGCCACTGAGCTGTACGGGGTGCGTGTGAAGAGGGTAGATCCCCAAACTGCACATAATCTCCCACAGCAGGAGCCCGGGGCAGCTGCGAACCCGAGCCTCACCCAGGGAGACTGACCCCAGCCCATCCCCCATCAGCCTGCCACTCCCAAGCTATATCATGAAGTGCAAGAGGCAGTCGCAGTTACACAACCCTACCCTCTCACTCCTCCAGCCCAAACCCCAAACATTCCTGAGAGTGACTCCTCCATTAGCAAAAAAAGGTCCCATCTCTGGGCCCCACCGATGACATGGCTCAGGACGCGGACCCTGGGTCTTCAACCGGTGCTCGGGTGAAAGAAGCCCAAGTCCTTACAGCAGAAAGTCACCAGCAAGAGAGGGCTATGGGAACGTTGCTCAATTTCCTTCTCTAGCCGGATGTGAGATGTGGAAAGACCTTGCTTAAAACATCACCAAATGGGCCCAGGGAGGCAGGTTTGGGCGGGAGGGCCGGGGCTCCTGGCTCTGAGGTTAACTCCTGGCAAAAAGCCCCAAACGGTAAGGCCAGGGGGTTGGCGATTCTCTGCCTGGCCTAACACGGTGCCTCATTCCAGAATTCAATCCCGGATCAGGGGCACCATGGGTCAGCCAAAACAGTGGCAGGGTCGTGGTGATGCGGAATTCTGAGGAAACTCAGAAGGCACTTCGGGGTCCCCGAAGCCAGGGGGTTCTGACCCCCTATCCCTCCCCAACAGGTAAAGCTGCTTTAATACTGTTCTCACAGAGGATCTGCAGGCCAGAAGGGAGGGGTCTACCAGGGCCAAAGTCACCTCCCCACCTTGGAGCCTTGAGATCAGAGATCGACGGGCAGGCTCGGGATCAGAGTAGGGGACCCCGAGCAAGGAGCCTCCTTCCCCATCTCCAAGGATGAACTCGGAGAACCCGCATGGTGGGCGGAAGAAGGCTAACCCCTTCAGCCAGCTCGTGAACTCCAGACAAGGCCCAGCACAGAACGGATGTGGACAATGGCTCGAACCCAGAAGGCACTGTGGAAGCCCCACAGGCTGCCCATGTGCGCCCACTGAAACACCGGAAGGCAGCAAGCGCGTGCATGTCAACATCCCCAGACCCTGCCTCTCATGCAGAGTCCTGGGGTCTGGAGCTTGCGACAGGGGCTGCTTGGGCAGCTGGCGGCTATAGTGAGGAAACGAGCCATGCAGGCAGTGAGGGGCAGCTGACAGCTGACAGGAGGGAAGGGGGCGCCCTGAGCTTGAAAATAGCCCTTGTGGCTCATGCCTCAGTCACATTCCCCGCCGAGGCAGGAGGGGGTGGGTGGGGGTTGGGTACCCTCTCTAGCAGCTACAGCTGCTAGGCTGGGGAGGTGGGGCATCCCCCAAGGCGGGGCCTTTCCCATTGCTGCCCGGGCTGGAGCTGGGATCCAGGGACTCATTCATTTTCTCACAGATGACATCCACCAGGCGCTCGAAGACCTGCTTCACGTTGATATTCTCCTTGGCACTGGCCTCGAAGAACTCGAAACCTGGACGGACATAAGTGGGGACACCTGTGAGACGCAGGCTGTGCTGTGGCATCATCCAAATCTGGGTTCCAAGCCCACTTCTGTCTGTTATGCAGCTATGGGACCTTGGCTGAGTGCCTTAGTCTCTCTGAGCCTCAGTGGGCTTGTCTATAAAATGGGAACCATGTTCATAAAAACCTGTGATAGTCCTGGCTGGTTTGGCTCAGTGGATAGAGTGTTGGCCTGCGGATTGAAGGGTCCCGGGTTCGATTCTCATCAGGGGCGTATGCTCAGGTTACAGGCTCAATCCCCAGTGGGGGGCGTGTAGGAGGCAGCCGATCAATGATTCTCTCTCATAGTTGATGCTTCTATCTCCCTCTCCCTCTCCCTTCCTCTCTGAAATAAAAAACAAACAAAAAAACCTGTGACAGAAGCCCTGCTCTGAACTACCCTAAGAATCTCTTTGTCCCAGGGCAGTGGCTGCAAGAGTCCAGGTAGTAACATTCTGGTGCCTAGAGGGATGGGTACCCACAGATGGCTTCAACTTGCCTTCCATGCAATTGTACTGCACAGGAAGGTGCTGCAAGGGTGCCCACAAAACTAGGTATTATTTGGACTTTAGAAATGTTCTGGAAAATGTGCTTCAGACCAAGTAAAACATAGCTGAAGACTGGCTTCAGCCTGGGCAGCTACCAGTCTGCAGTTCCTGTCGGGTTCCCCAGTGTTTGTGGAGAGTGTGTGATAAGTAGTTCCTGGCCTATAGAATGCACTAAAAATGGTAATCTACACTAATAAAAGAGAAACATGGTAATTAGCGTACGACCGCTACCCTTCCCATTGGCTAATCAGCATATCCTTATGCAAATTAACTGTCAGCCAAGATGGCAGCCGGCAG